TAAAATTAACATTATTTGTGATATGTTAAATTCATGTATTTTATTCATTTATGTTAGAATTTACATTTTTAAAAATATTATTTTTATGTTTTTCGTTTATTTATTTATAAATTGTATTATTTAAACAAATGTTGAATATTAATTTAAAATATTCAAACAACATAATCACATTATGTTAAACTAACACTCAGATATGTTAAAAATTCAACACAAAATTTTAACAAGAACTTGAATGGACCGGTTTTAACATAGATACAAAACGTGTTTCACTGCGCGTTAATATTATATCAGAATTAAAAGCGACAAAATATAGTAAAACACAAAATAAGGTTCTTCTCTTTGAAAATATATATAAAATGTAATTAAAAAAGTACACAAAATAAAATTTTGCAATATTTCGTAGAGAGAAATAGCCTCACAATAAAAAACATCTAATATGTAGTATATGTTAAAAAATGCGCGAAACGTGTTTCCGGATTTTTCTACAGAGGGAAGTACGGATACAATCTTATTTATATTGCCAGTCCATCTGTATGTGTATATAGGTGCACATAGAATAAAAAGCCCACGTATTTCATCCTTACAAAAATTGCAGACGTAGCGGCAACGTCTGGAATAATATTTTGTGGATAGTAATATCATCTTAATGGAATAGTTGAATGATAACAAGACACAAAAAGTATCTGTCGATAATCGTAAATTTCGACGGCGCGCTGCTGTCGAAGTACTGACAACGATAATATCAAAACTTTTGACATGCGAGCTCTAAATACTTCGGCGCATAATTCTCGTTACTCTTGAAATTATCGGCTGTCAAGCATGTACTTACTACAACAGGAAATAATAGGCGCGCCGCGATAGCGTAATCCCGCGGCTGATTTTCCGCGGTCACCGCTCGGCCATGCCGCGTTTTACATTCAGGCCGAACTGCGGCGATAAAAGGAGAAGCAGGAACGTCGATCTATCGGGCGCGAAAATTATAACGCGGAAAGTCTTTTGTGCTCGACGCGAAAGAGTTACGGACACGATTGCATGGTCGCGCACACGGCGTTTATGCGGCGCGACAGAAATAAGCCCACGGATGCATAACTTCGGCGCTTGATTTTCTTTTTCCTCATTTCTCATCGTTTCACTCGTCTCGAGAATTTCGCATCACGTGATTTTACTATTACAGAAAGTGGAACGATACGGAAAAGAAATATTACGAAAGGTAGAAATGCTAAAACAATACGTAGATACCGAACATTTTTTTTAGATTCACGTATCTATTAATTATCTGTCAATTATCTACAATAATTTTTTGCCAAAATGGTTTACTAAATTAGCAACGTACATACGTGGAAAATAATAAGATATAACGAAATAATTGCATCTTTGATATTCGCATTACACTTTCAAACGGACGAAGTGTCATCATAAAAACAATAATTACATCTTGTTAACATGGAGCGTATCG